TTTTTGTATTGGTTATCTGAAAAGTATTCTATAAAAAAAGTTTCTATGTTCAACTAATTGTTCAAGTGCGAGTTATACAATTCATTCTCGACGAGTATTATTTATACAGCTAATTATGAAAACTGTCAAATAGTTTCTGTGGCCATATAAAATCCTGTATTATTTGAGTTTGTTCTGACGTCAATAAAAAGGTGATAAGCTAAAAAGACGGCTATAACGCATATGCAAGAATACAATTTGAGTTATTATGAATGACTTTACGGGCGGAAAACAGTTTTCCAATGCCAGCTATTCAGTTGAAGCTCAAGCGAGTCGATCTCGACTAGTGTTACTTGTCATCGTAGCAGAATATGAAATCTTCGATTTTCTCTATGTAGTTATTTTCAAAGTCTATGTCAACTAACTATTTTTGTTCTCATCGAGGTATGTTCTTTTCAGATATCATGCGCACTTCCATTACAAAAATGACATGCGGATATATGTTCTCGTTGATAAATATCGAATGATAACCATTTTGCTTTTTTTCTCTATGATAGTCGCGGAAATAAAAATAATTAGGCCAACTGAGCGTCAACAATCTGTTAAATTATGTATTTACAAGAATCAGCGTATCTTAGTGTTTCTACATAAAACAACAGGCTGATATGGCTAAAACTATTTGCTATTATATATTATTTTATCGTGACATTTGATATGTTAATAGATTTTTTTCAGTTTTGAAAAATCTGCGGAATACCAAAGCGTATTATAATTACAATATTATGTACTTTAACTCATTCAGTTAAAGATGCAACTGATACAGTTGTTCATATTTCTCTCTATATTTCTCGACTGTTATTCTCGTTATTTGTTTTATAATACGAATAATGAACATGCATTTGACTGTTTGTACGCTCATATACAATATTATGATGTAGTCAAGAATGGAGCTTATCTTACACTTCATCATCTATTTCCTTATTGTCAGCGACTAGATAAAAGCGAAACATCAGCCATTTTTGTATTAGAGGAAAATGTAAAAAACAGAATAAGTTTTCAAGAATTATCAAGAAATGGAATAACGAGTTCACAATTATTGGATTGGTTCGTTCCACTTGATATTGCCGAAGAGTACGCAATCAATGGAGAAAATCCAGATAAATTTATTTACAATTGTTCATCTCCTTGGTTTGGTTCAGCATGTCAATATCAATTAATTAATGATGAACAAATTCCATTTGGTCGACTTGTTCGTCTCACATTTCTCCAACGTGAATCACCATCGTTGGATCTCGATTTTCCTCATGGTACTTGCTATCCATTCTTGGAGAGTTGTATTCGTGGTCCATCTCCAATTTGTCTTGATTGGCGTGAAATCTGCGATGGTGTTTATGATTGTGTTCATGGTGAAGATGAAGAATTCTGTTATTTATTAGAACAAAATCACTGTTCAGAAGATGAATTTCAGTGTCGTAGAAGCAAAGAATGTATTTCCCAGACATTTGTTGATGATTATGAAACCAGCTTTGATTGTCTCGATGCCACTGACGAAACGGGATATAGTTCACGGGGATTCGGAGATTCGTGCATGCGTTTTCCGACATTTGAATGTGAAGAGATGTGTCGCGAAGCGGATCGTTCTTTTCCTTGTGGTGATGGGCAAATGGCTCTATATCTAACACCTCATTTTACTTCCACCTGTGGAAACTTACGCGAACAATACATGACTATTGCTCTGTTCACTTCATTCGATTATATTTCCAACTCAGCATGTCGACAACGACTCATATGTTTAGTCCGTCCCGATAAAATCGAATTTCTTATACACTCGCAGGATCAAATTCGTTGTCAATTGCCTTTAGATTATTGTCCGTTGGAATGGCTCGTTTTTCCGGAGTATCCAATACTTTATTCGCTGTTCCAATTTGTGTATCTAACAAATCGATCGATATCCTTGTCAACAAANTCATTCGATTATATTTCCAACTCAGCATGTCGACAACGACTCATATGTTTAGTCCGTCCCGATAAAATCGAATTTCTTATACACTCGCAGGATCAAATTCGTTGTCAATTGCCTTTAGATTATTGTCCGTTGGAATGGCTCGTTTTTCCGGAGTATCCAATACTTTATTCGCTGTTCCAATTTGTGTATCTAACAAATCGATCGATATCCTTGTCAACAAATGATATTACACCAGATTTTATTTGTTTCAATGCAAGTCGATGTCCGAAATATCTGTTTTGTTCGGTGGATATTGGAATGAAAAATGGACATCATTGTTGTCACACTAGTAGTATGACTCACGGGGAAATAGATATATGGGGGGAATTTCCGTTTATTTTTGGATCTATTTTCGAAGACTGTTCGGAAATTGCTCGAGATAAAGAATTTTTATTGACCGCTGAAGAGACAAATTCTTCTATAAATATCAATAATCAATGGATTACCTTACATAAAACATACCCGTTTCCGTATATTTGTGATAGCCATGATCATATATTGGATGATGACGAAACGGATGAAACTGATTGCCATCTTTGGCCATGCAATAATCCATATACTCGATGTAATCAGCGTTTTCAATGTTTGAATGGCATCGATGAAATTAATTGCTCGTACAGTTTATGTGCATCCAATGAAATCCGTTGTGATGACTCGAACTCGTCTTACTGTTTGCCCGTGTCGCACTTAGCCGATGATTATACACAATTTGATCCATATAGACCATATCGTCTTATACATTTAATTAATGAGACAATCGGTGATCTTGAAAACTATTTGTTTTGGAATCAAACCAGATGTATTACTATCGAATATTCTGACCAAAATCGTTTGATTTCATTGGTGGGAAATAATGATGATCCTTGCGTAATACCAAGATATCCAACATCTTTGACTTCCTACAAAATTATAGTAAGCAGAAACGAAACAAAGCTGTGTACTTCGGGCCCAATTCTTATGGATATTTTTTATAAACAATCTCCGTATCTTCGATCATCACGCTTAGGTTACTTCCCATCAGTTATTCCTCAAGCTTCTTATCGATCAACAGAAATTCAATCAAGTCAACCAACTCTTTTCGATCTTCGTTCAGATGATTTCGTTAATTGGTATTGTAATCGAGGATTTCTCATTTTTTATCAAAATAATCAAACGACCAAATGTCTTTGTCCTCCAAGTTACTTTGGTTCACGATGTCAATGGCAAAGTCAACGTGTTAGTCTNCTGTTCACTTCATTCGATTATATTTCCAACTCAGCATGTCGACAACGACTCATATGTTTAGTCCGTCCCGATAAAATCGAATTTCTTATACACTCGCAGGATCAAATTCGTTGTCAATTGCCTTTAGATTATTGTCCGTTGGAATGGCTCGTTTTTCCGGAGTATCCAATACTTTATTCGCTGTTCCAATTTGTGTATCTAACAAATCGATCGATATCCTTATCAACAAATGACATTACACCAGATTTTATTTGTTTCAATGCAAGTCGATGTCCGAAATATCTGTTTTGTTCGGTGGATATTGGAATGAAAAATGGACATCATTGTTGTCACACTAGTAGTATGACTCGCCGGAAAATAGATATATGGGAGACATCTCCATCTATTTTTCGATCTATTTTCGAAGACTGTTCGGAAATTGCTCGAGATAAAGAATTTTTATTGACTGCTGGAGAGACAAGTTCTTCTATAAATATCAATAATCAATGGATTAACCTACACAAAACATACCCGTTCCCATATATTTGTGATGGTTATCGTCATATATTCGGTGATGACGAAACGGATGAAACTGATTGCCATCTTTGGCCATGCAATAATCCATATACTCGATGTAATCAGCATTTTCTATGTTTGAATGGCATCGATGAAATTAATTGCTCGCGCAGTTTATGTGCACCCAATGAAATCCGTTGTGATGTGGACTCGAACTCGTTTTACTGTTTGCCCGTGTCGAACTTAGCCGATGATTATACACAATTTGATCCATATAGACAATATCGTCTTATACATTTAATTAATGAAACAATCGGTGATCTTGAAAACTATTTATTTTGGAATCAAACCAGATGTATTACTGTCGGATATTCTGACCAAGATCGTTTGATTTCATTGGTGGGAAATAATGATGATCCTTGCGTAATACCAAGATATCCAACATCTTTGAATCTCTACGAAACTATAGTGAGCAGAAACAAAACAAAGCTGTGTGCTTCGGGCCTAAGTCTTATGGGTGGCTTTTATAAACAGTCTCCGCATCTTCAATCATCACGCTTAGGTTACTTCCCATCAGTTATTCCTCAAGCTTCTTATCGATCAACAGAAATTCAATCAAGTCAACCAACTCTTTTCGATCTTCGTTCAGATGATTTCATTAATTGGTATTGTAATCGAGGATTTCTCATTTTTTATCAAAATAATCAAACGACCAAATGTCTTTGTCCTCCAAGTTACTTTGGTTCACGATGTCAATGGCAAAGTCAACGTGTTAGTCTCACACTTCAGTTGAAATATTTCACTTTCACCTATGAAATGCCCATTTTTCAAATAATCTCAATGCTTATTGATGATCGAGGACAAATTAGCCCATATGATGAACAAGCAATTCATTTACCAAAACGTGATTGTGGAACCAAATATCATGTTTATTTACTTTATCCATCAAGACCAAAGGATTCCTCGCTGAATTATTCAATTCGGATTGATATTTTCAATCGCATAACTTTAACACATTGGGCAAGCTGGCTTTTACCAATCCCATTTCCATTTATTCCCGTCAATCGTGTTGCTGCACAATTACTCATTCCTTTTAATTATCAACAAACTGCATTGTCGTGTCCATTGTCTTGTGGTAAACATGGCAAATGTCTCAAATATGTCAACACAAATTTCTCCTACTTTTGTCAATGTGATTCAGGTTATTCGGGATCAAATTGTCAATTTAATCATAATTGTTCTTGTTCATCTGATTCATTTTGTCTCAGTTCATCCATTTGTATTTGTCCATTATACAAATTTGGTTCGAAATGCTACTTAAAGCATACATCATGTCAATCATCAACAAATCCGTGTGAAAATGATGGGCAGTGTGTACCGATCGATGACCGCATTTCTATGAATAACTTCACATGCATTTGTAAAGAAGGATTCTTTGGAGATCGATGCGAAAATATCCAAAATCGAATTGACATTCAATTTGATGATCGTACGCTCACAAGAGGAAAACCTGTTTTGATTCATTTCATTACAATCCATGACAAAACTGATCATGTGCAAAGTACAGTGTTAAAACAAATCAAATATGGTCAAAATCAAGTGACAATTCTGACGGCTATGCCATTTCATCTTGTTTTTGTAGAACTTCTCCAGGGTGACTTCTACTTAACTGTTAAACGCGAAGAATCTATCAAATCCGAACATATTCGAACAAATTTGCGATCCAACCATCAATGCATGCTTATTGATCAATTATTAAATGAAACATTGAAATCTTTTCATTACCTTCGTCGTGTTAAATTTTATCCATTCTTCTGTCGACAGAATAAAGATTTGATGTGCTTTTACGATGAACTCTACGTGTGCGCTTGTGATGAAGATCGGTTTTCCAATTGTTTTTCATTCAATCGGAATGTAACTTATAATTGTGATCAAAGCGAAAATCCTTGTGAAAATAATGGAAAATGTTTTCGAGCAAATCAAACATGTTCAAGTTCTATCAGATGTTTTTGTTCAGGTTGTTTTTATGGAACAAAATGTGAATTTACAACTGAAGGTTTTGTTTTATCTCTCGATTATATTCTCAGTTATCATATTAAACCAAATCTTTCCATTTTTCATCAGCCATTTATTGTCAAAATGAGTGTCGCTATCGTTACAATGGTGTCTTTCACTGGACTTATTGGTGGATTATTAGCAATTGTGACATTTCGTACGAAGGAAATTCAGATCAATGGCTGTGGATTTTATCTATTTGCATCCGGTTGGATTTCAGTCATAATTCCAAGTGTATTAGTAATCAAATTTATTCAATTGAATTTATTGCAGACGAAAATTTACAGAAATTTATCGATTTTTCGCTTGAATTGTGTTCTATTAGATGTAGTTATTAAAGTTCTTTTAGCAAGTAATGATTGGCTTGATGGATGTGTTTCGATCGAACGTGTTTTCACTGTTAAACAAGGTGTCAAATTTGATAAAACTAAAAGCAAACAAGTAGCCAAGTGGGTCATTCTATTTATTCTTCTCTTTACGACTTTAACTCACCTTCATGATCCTCTTCATCGACAATTAGTTGAAGACGTCGATGTTGATGAACAACGAATCTGGTGTATCTCTCGTTATTCATCTTCGATTAATAGTTACAATTCATTTATAACTTTGTTTCATTTTCTTGTTCCATTCGCTATTAATTTAATTTCAACAGTAATTATTATAATTTCAATCGCTCGAAATCGTTCAACTATTCAAACAAGATTATCGTATTTGGAACATCTTAAATTACAATTAAAAGAGCACAAACATCATTTCATTGCATCGTTTACATTGATATTATTGGGATTACCGCGCCTTGTCATTTCATTTATAAGTGGATGTATGAAATCACCGAGTAATTCTTGGTTATTTCTCTCGGGTTATTTTGTTTCGTTTTTACCATCGATGATGACATTTGTTGTTTATGTTTTACCATCGAGAACTTATAAAGATCAATTTGATAATGTTGTTGAAAAAACACTTCGACGCTTTGGTCGATAAACTTAATTTTCTTACCCATACAAATAATTATCTCTTTTTCTGTTCGTTCTTCTTTGTTGCTTCTTGACAATGAAAACTCAAAGATGAGATGTTTCTCTACTCAAATTCAGCGAAGAAGGGAAAATGTATAATCTCGATGTGATGCTATTTTCATATATACTCAACTTTGTATCGTTGATTCTTTCTCTCATATAGCAACAAAAATAGTTGGTCTGTGTTTGAAAGAATGTCATGCAACATAAATTATAGGCTTTTTAGAAACACCTCTTTTAATTAAACAAGAATCAAAAATACAAAAGAATTTGTTTGAGTGTCCCATAATGCAGATAGGCAAATAAATAAAATATATCGAGCCTTTTACTATCGTACTTCTTTGTATTCAAAGTGAAATATTTGTCGGATCTCAAAATATTGGCTTCGATCTCATTATCAGTTATAGTTCATGACTTCATTCGGTTTGATTAACAATTTTTTGCTACTAATTACAATAGAGCGCACGATTAGCAAAATGCCGACAGATCTGTCCCGATTTTATTTATGGAATCTTTTGTGGCGTCAGTTCATTATATCTGTGACTGCGTATATAATTATACAAATGTCTGATGCTGTTGGATCTATACATGAAGCGTTTTGCGTGGTAAATCAAAGGTCATGTCACATCAAAGTTGTTTCTATATAAGCCCTCTAATTATTGCGCTATTTTTCTGCATCCAACCTTTCCTATCTATTCGCTTAGAGTTACTGAATAGAATTCGCAGGACAAACGTTCCTCATGACTCTACTTCAGGATGCTCAACAATTATCATTGTATGGTGGTATCGTCTTACTTGTATTCGGTATAATTGGTAATGGAATTAATATTCTAGTCTTTACTAAAGTGCGTATTTATCGAATCAATCCCTGTACATTCTATTTTCTCATGGGTTCAATTGACAATCTCTTCTACGTTTGTCTTAATCTTCCCATTCGTATTCTGATTGTTTCTTTTCAAATTGATATTATTGGATCATCCGATGTATGGTGTAAAATACGAAACTTTCTTCTAACTGTTCCTAGTCTTATTTCCATCACCTTTTCATGTTTAGCAATCATCGATCAGTTTTTAGTCACATCAAAAAGTGCCTTTCTTCGACGTTATAGTCAAATTAAATGGGCACATCGTATATCAATTCTGGTGATCATTTTCTGGTGTGTTTATTGTATTCATATATTCTTCGTAGTTCGAATTGTACCCAGTACGAAGGTTTGCACAAGTGACAATCCAAGTTATCTTGTCTATTCAGTAGTGTATCTACTTGCGATCATTTGTGGAATACCCGTTAGCATCATGACTTTGTTTGGACTCCTGACATATCGTAATATTCGAGAGACAATAGCTCTTGCCGAGTTACACTACGATCGTCAGATGATACGAATGACGTTTATTCACGCCGTGCTTGTTGCTGTTAGTTTAATACCGTTTGGAATTAATAATGCGTATAGTTTAATTACAGCTGGAACAGTGAAAAATCTGAATCGACAGATGATAGAATATCTTGTTAGTACAATTACGACTTTGGGTACATATCTATACTATGTGGTAAGTTGAATAAGTTTTGCATTTGAAGATCCAATTTGTAGCTTAATTTGTTTTTGTAGGGAAGCTGTTATACGTTCTTATTAACATCGAATCGATTTCGTCAACGGGCCAGAAAAGAATTATTCAATTGGAGTCACAAAAATAGAATAGAACCTTGTCAAGTTTTGTCTTGAGGATGAAAATGTGGATACACATCTGTCTTCTTACGAAGAGAATTTTAGATAAAAATAATAAACATCGTATACCACGTCCTGAAAAACTACACGAAGTCTATAGTAGATCTGATGTAAGTATCACTGCGTATCTTTTATGAGCAATACACTAACAGGTGGATATCCATCCAAATCACAGAAAGTATGTCAAGTTGTGTCTATCAAACAGGAACATTCCATGATGAAAAATAAGTGTTGAAAATTAACTTACATTTGTCGGAATCGTTTTTAAAATGCTTTTGAATTGGGAGATATTCTGTCGCGAAAGTGTCGGGAATGGCAAAACAGACCATCAATCACAGCTAATATCGTTTCGATATACGTGCAATATTGTGGTTAAGATCTGTTGTCTTCAGATGAATTTGTAAAAGGTAATCCCTCTGAATAAGTTTTTCTCAGCAAATAACTTTTACCCTGAAATAGAATTAATGCATGTCTTAACATTATCAACACAGAAAGGAATTCGTGCGAAAAGAACAATCTATTTCACTTCGTCATTCTGATATGTATATTGGAAAGAAAAGTTTACTACAAGTCCGTTCCACAAATGAAAAAGAATATCCAAGTTGTTTCGAATTAAACAACAGGAAATTTGTGTTGAATAAAAGCGTATCATAGGCGAGGAAACTTGACTTGATATGCTGATACCTGTATGACTGTCGTTAGTCGAACGACGAAGAACTCCTCGGCGATATGTGGGCTAATGTCGATTTCTCTGTGTCAATAGCAATATTCTAAATCAATTATGGTAAAAAGAAATGCAACTGGTTGTAGATAATTCAGCGAAAACCGTTCATGCGCACTGCACGTTTTGTGACATATTGAGGATACGAGAATTCTTTTAGAGTCAAGTCTTATCAAGGTTTTCAATAGAACAGCAGAGGCTACTTGCATTCTTATGACGAGAATAGAGTAATTCCAAAGCTCATCATGTCTTTTTCTTCAATTATCTTATGCCGTTTATTTCTAACTGTCATTGATTTTGGTAAACAACAACAATTATAAAGAAGCATCGCGCCATTTTACTTGTATCTCTTCAGACATTGTAGAATCCTTTGCATAAAATGTATTTAACTTTATTTGATATTCTCCAAGAAACTTATTCTCCGAGAAAAACGATTTGTGTAAATCCGAATGTGACTTTTCGAATATCTGTGGCGATATAAAATCCTCCTTTATTAATAGAACATGCTCTATTAAAGAATATTTCCAGTGTCTTATGTCAAGTTCATTGATGGAAAAAAGGTTAAAGTAATCTACATTCTATTTATTTTATTCTGTTATTTCTTTCTCATGAGCTATGTAGTCTTATAAAATGTGAGAGACTTTTTGCCAGAGAAATTCTGAAATTCCATTCGGAGGGAAAACATTTATTATGACATTACTTTTCGACGGCCAACTGTTCACACTCTATGCTGGAATCATTCTACTCGTTGCTTGTGTTGTTGGAAATGGCATTAATATTCTTGTCTTTTCCAGAGTTCGCATTTATCGAACAAATCCTTGTACATTCTACTTTCTCATGGGTTCTATTGACAACATGTTCTATGTTTGTTTCAATCTTCCGATTCGTATCTTAAGCGACACTTATCGAATTGACACATATCGAGGATCTGATGTATGGTGTAAAATACGACATCTCCTTCTGGTTGTTCCTTCTCTAATCTCTGTCACATTTTCATGTTTAGCTATCATTGATCAGTTTTTAGTCACATCAAAAAGTGCCTATCTTCGTAGTCGNGCTGGAACAGTGAAAAATCTGAATCGACAGATGATAGAATATCTTGTTAGTACAATTACGACTTTGGGTACATATCTATACTATGTGGTAAGTTGAATAAGTTTTGCATTTGACGATCCAATTTGTAGCTTAATTTGTTTTTGTAGGGAAGCTGTTATACGTTCTTATTAACATCGAATCGATTTCGTCAACGGGCCAGAAAAATAGAATAGAACCTTGTCAAGTTTTATCTTGAGGATGAGAATGTGAATACACATCTGTCTTCTTACGAAGAGAATTTTAGATAAAAATAATAAACATCGTATATCACGTCCTGAAAAACTACACGAAGTCTATAGTAGATCTGATGTAAGTATCACTGCGTATCTTTTATGAGCAATACACTAACAGGTGGGTATCCATCCAAATCACAGAAAGTATGTCAAGTTGTGTCTATCAAACAGGAGCATTCCATGATGAAAAATAAGTGTTGAAAATTAACTTAGATTTGTCGGAATCGCTTTTAAAATGCTTTTCAATTGGGAGATATTCTGTCGCGAAAGTGTCGTGAATAGCAAAACAAACCATCAATCACAGCTAATATCGTTTCGATATACGTGCAATATTATAGTTAAGATCTGTTGTCTTCAGATGAATTTGTAAAGGTAATCCCTCTGAATAAGTTTTTCTTAGCAAATAACTTTTATCCTGGAATAGAATTCATGCATGTCTTAACATTATCAACACAGAAAGGAATTCGTGCGAAAAGAACAATCTATGCCACTTCGTCATTCTGATATGTATATTGGAAAGAAAAGTTTACTACAAGTCCGTTTCACAAGTGAAAAAGAATATCCAAGTTGTTTCGAATGAAACAACAGGAGATTCGTATTGAATAAAAGCGTATCATAGGCGAGGAAACCTGACTTGATATGCTGATACCTGTATGACTGTCGTTAGTCGAACGACGAAGAACTCCTCGGCGATATGTGGGTTAATGTCGATTTCTCTGTGTCAATAGCAATATTCTAAATCAATTATGGTAAAAAGAAATGCAACTGGTTGTAGATAATTCAGCGAAAACCGTTCATGCACACTGCACGTTTTGTGACATATTGAGGATACGAGAATTCTTTTAGAGTCAAGTCTTTGTCAAGGTTTTTAATAGAACAGCAGAGGCTACTTGCATTCTTATGACGAGAATAGAGTAATTCCAAAGCTCATCATGTCTTTTTCTTCAATTATCTTATGCCGTTTATTTCTAACTGTCATTGATTTTGGTAAACAACAACAATTATAAAGAAGCATCGCGCCCTTTTACTTGTATCTCTTCAGACATTGTAGAATCCTTTGCATAAAATGTATTTAACTTTATTTGATATTCNATTTGTTCGTTGTTGTAGGGAAGTTGTTATGCGTTCTTATTGACATCGCGTCGCTTTCGTCGAATGGTGAAAAAGACAATATTTCACAATCGTGAAGAAAATACCGGAGAACTTCGTTAGACTTCTTTCTGAAAACGAAGATTCGTGAAATTTTATGTTCGACTTTGTTATTCTCGCTCTCATTAAATTGAACACTGTGACAACACGTTAAATAAAAGCGAAGTTTGAGTGTAATTCCTCGGTGTAATGCACAATAAATTGTATGTCATGCGAATTAACTTATGAAGATCTCATGGAAAGATGCGTTCGTCTCATCGTTTAGTGATTACATTGTTTGAAAGATAATCTCACTTATGGCTGAGAACATCATTACTTTCCGTATAGTGCTGAGTTTTGTGGAATCGATTTGTCATCCAGTCGAAGGATAGTTGGTATAGCGATCGAGTGACAGAAAAAAGTTTCTTTATCTTCTTCCTTGAGCAGAATGTAATGTGCAAGCCGAATGAAGAAATCGAATTCCTCTGGTGTTAGGGATAGTTTCAATCGTCTTTGCTGGCCTGAGCATACGTTGGAAATATTTTGCGCCGATTCCCATCGTAATCTCATTAACTTACATGATTCTCTCTTCTTACAATTTTCATATTGGACGAACGAATGGTTCGCTATTTTGTGATCTGATGTGGCCCGTTGGCAAAAATATGAGAACAATGACTGCTCAATGTTTCTATATACCTGTTCATGGGCAAATCACAAATCATTTTTTATATGGCATTGTTCAGAACAATGCGGCACTATTCGCTGGAATACAATCTGAATATAATGATTCTACAGAAATTCAAATACTACTTTATACGCCAATTCATGAAGGATATACACGGTACAAAGCAAAAACGTTGGGACAATTCATCTTGTTTCTTGAAATTGTTATGGCTGCCTCTGAAATTGTGGATGAGTGAAGCAATAGCTGATATAAATTTTAACCGAGACTTTAATGTATTCGTCTTTTCCTATCTCACTATTCTTATTCTACAATCCGAATGTGAAATCGCCGTCTTCGGGAGGAAATAAAACATTGCACATTGTCTCTAATGAGTTCTATTCTGATTGACTTGCCCAACTTTGATTTGAATAAATCGTGCCCCGACATATGATGATTATGTCTTTAAAAGTGAAACGTTATCAGGAACATGATTCTATATCATACCATGTTGTATCATTGTACTGAACCAAATTTTTTAGCTATAATAGTGAACTTTTTTCGCCTCTTTGGACCACATTTTCCACTCTTTTATGCAAATAGAACTGGACATCATATTGCTCCNATTTGTTCGTTGTTGTAGGGAAGTTGTTATGCGTTCTTATTGACATCGCGTCGCTTTCGTCGAATGGTGAAAAAGACAATATTTCACAATCGTGAAGAAAATACCGGAGAACTTCGTTAGATTTCTTTCTGAAAACGAAGATTTGTGAAATTTTATGTTCGACTTTGTTATTCTCGCTCTCATTAGATTGAACACTGTGACCAACACGTTAAATAAAAGCGAAGGTTGAGTGTAATTCTTCGGTGTAATGCACAATAAATTGTATGTCATGCGAATTAACTTATGAAGATCTCATGGAAAGACGCGTTCGTCTCATCGTTTAGTGATTACATTGTTTGAAAGATAATCTCACTTATGGCTGAGAACAACATTACTTTCCGTATAGTGCTGAGTTTTGTGGAATCGATTTGTCATCCAGTTGAAGGATAGTTGGTATAGCGATCGGGTGACAGAAAAAAGTTTCTTTATCTTCTTCCTTGAGCAGAATGTAATGTGCAAGCCGAATGAAGAAATCGAATTCCTCTGGTGTTAGGGATAGTTTCAACCATCTTTGCTGGCCTGAGCATACGTTGGAAATATTTTGTGCCAATTCCCATCGTAATCTCATTAACTTACATGATTCTCTCTTCTTACAATTTTCATATTGGACGAACGAATGGTTCGCTATTTTGTGATCTGATGTAGCCCGCTGGCAAAAATATGAGAACAATGACTGCTCAATGTTTCTATATACCTGTTCATGGGTAAATCACAAATCATTTTTTATATGGCGTTGTTCAGAACAATGCGGCACTATTCGCTAGAATACAATCTGAATATAATGATTCTACAGAAATTCAAATACTACTTTATACGCCAATTCATGAAGGATATACACGGTGCAAAGCAAAAACGTTGGGACAATTCATCTTGTTTCTTGAAATTGTTATGGCTGCCTCTGAAATTGTGGATGAGTGAAGCAATAGCTGATATAAATTTTAACCGAGACTTTAATGTACTCATGTCTTTTCCTATCTCACTGTTCTTATTCTAGAATCCGAATGTGAAATCGCCATCTTCGGGAGGAAATAAAACATTGCACATTTTCTCTAATGAGTTCTATTCTGATTGACTTGCCCAACTTTGATTTGAATAAATCGTGCCCCGATATATGATGATTACGCCTTTAAAAGTGAAACGTTATCAGGAACATGATTCCATATCATACCATGTTGTATCATTGTACTGAAGCAAATGTTTTAGCTATAACAGTGAACTTTTTTCGCCTCTTTGGACCACATTTTCCACTCTTTTATGCAAATAGAACTGGACACCATATTGCTCCCTGATCCGTACTCAATTGTGGTATTATTCGACTAAAATGACACATTATCTTCAAAGAGGTAAAGAAGAATAATTATTATCCTCATCGTTTTTTCATGTTCAACGATCAAGTATTTCCTGTCATCTATTTTAAATTACCATTGCGTCGCATTTAAAATTTTGTCCTAAGGGAATATTACATCATCATCTTCATATCGAGACAAAACCGATCAAACATTTTTCAAGTAATTACGTATCCATTTTCACATAAGAATTTTTCATCGGAACATTCTGCCGTGATTTTCACGAACTATTCTCGCGTTAAATCATCGAGATTATCATGACGTGTGTTATGAATAATATTTACGGACAGTTTTATATTTAACTATGTTTTACATATACACAGTTAGTAACGTCTCTCTATTTCAGAATAAACCAGATATTTTACAGAAAAATTTTGAATACAATTCTAATCAAAGGCGATTGTCATAACATTACTTTTCGACGGCCAGCTGTTCCCACTCTATGCTGGAATCATTCTACTCGTTGCTTGTGTTGTTGGAAACGGAATCAAAACATTCTAGTCTTCTCTAAACTTCACATGTATCGCACAAATCCTTGTGCATTCTACTTCCTCATGAGTTCCGAGAATCTGATGTATGGTGTAAAATACGACAGTTTTTTCTCTTCGTCTCTGAGTTACGGTTTGACCTTCAGTTGATCCGAAAGCATACATCAAGATCACCCCTGGAGTAGCGAAAGATTTGGATCAGCAAACAAAGGAAAGTTTCGCCACAACGGTTGTCACTTTTGGAACATGTTCATACTACATGGTATGTAGGTGGGTTTTTACATACTTAATCATTGGAAACACGTATCTGTCATTATAGAGAAGTTGTTATACGTTTTTGTTGGCGTCGGGTCGTTTTCGTCGAATGGCGATAAGGAAAGTGTTCTGTTGGAAACGAAAAATGCGATAGAACCTCATTAAAGTTGTCTTGGGTTTTATTTCTGTCGATTAATCGATGCAATTTCATATCTTGGAAGAAGTTACGCTCAAGAAAATATGCTAATAAAATAGAATAATGTAAAAATAACACAGAAAAGTGCTGATAATCTCATTGGAAAAAGAATCTGTTTCATCAAATCGATCTTTGCGTTCTTTTAACTGAAATAATTCAAGTTTAGAAAGAAAAATCAGTAAATGGATCATTGAATGATTTAACTAATTTTTTAGAATAAGATATGCCGGTAATAAATATGTGAAAGTATCTTTCAAGTTGGCAATTTAGTCCCTATGTAAACAAGAAAATTTGTCTTTTTTTGTCAGTCTGCTGTATGCACTCATTTTTTGCAAGAAGTAGCACTACGAAAGTCTCTGCACAAATTCTCTGAGTGCAAAGGAAGGTCAATATAGGATTGAAGGTCACTGAGCCTATCTTCGTGCTAAATTTAACGTCACGAAACGTCTTACAATATTTTACTGACATTGGGACATTTAAGTGCAATGATGCTTGGTTTTAATCCAAATGAGTTTGATGGGTTAAAAGTTTGCAAGATATAGATATTGTTTCTATTTCTCATATGAAAACGTCGATTTTTACTTGAAAATCGGAGAAGCAAAATATTTCTCTCAAATTCGAATCTAACAGTGGTAGAGCTAATTTTATGGTAGCCTATATTTGTAGAACGAATAAAAAAAGCAAACAAAGTTCCATTTTGCAGCATCAATAAGAATAACTCTGCAGTTATCTAATATATTCAAGAGTACTCAACAAAATATCGTTTATAGCAACGAACATAAAAGAATTGTCATTCAAGTTACTTGAAGTTATTTTAAATCATCAAGCGCCGCTTATATTCGGATATTTTCTCTGATTAGAAACATTTTGAAAATAAGTTCAAATTAAAAAAAGAACCTTTATATAGATATGTCCTAATAGAAATTTATCGTATACTTCTACGACGTGAACTCATTCCGATAATGATTCGTGCGTAATTAATATCATTTGTAGATATTTTACCTTAAGTTTAAACCATACAAAAGAACTAATTGAGAATATAAATATATTTTATTCGATATTGTCTCGCTACAACAAATGGGAAATGCGTTTTCCGGAATCTCGTTCTATCGCCGTAAAATATCGTTTACATTATAAAAATTATCAGCAATTTCTTTTATTCTCAGTGTAATTTTCAACTGATTCACGATCGTTATGACACTACTCTACGACGCTCAACTACTTACACTCTATGTTGGTATTTGTCTCTTTATCGCATGTGTTATTGGAAATGGAATTAACATTCTGGTCTTCTCTAAACTTCACATGTTTCGCACAAATCCTTGTGCATTCTACTTCCTCATGGGTTCTATTGACAACATGTTCTATGTTTGTTTCAATCTTCCGATTCGTATCTTAAGCGACACTTATCGAATTGACACATATCGAGGATCTGATGTATGGTGTAAAATACGACATCTTTTTCTTTTCGTTCCCGCTCTTATTTCTGTCACGTTTTCATGTTTGGCCCTCATTGATCAGTTTTTAGTCACATCAAAAAGTGCCTATCTTCGTAGTCGNACATACTTAATCATTGGAAACACGTATCTGTCATTATAGAGAAGTTGTTATACGTTTTTGTTGGCGTCGGGTCGTTTTCGTCGAATGGCGATAAGGAAAGTGTTCTGTTGGAAGTGAAAAATGCGATAGAATCTCATTAAAGTTGTCTTGGGTTTTATTTCTGTCGATTAATCAATGCAATTTCATATATTCGAAGAAGTTACGCTCAAGAAAATATGGTAATAAAATAGAATAATGTAAAAATAACACAGAAAAGTGCCGATAATCTCATTGGAAAAAGAATCTGTTTCATCAAATCGATCTTTGCGTTCTTTTAACTAAAATAATTCAAGTTTAGAAAGAAAAATCAGTAAATGGATCATTGAATGATTTAACTAATTTTTTAGAATAACTTATGCCGGTAAGAAATATATGAAAGCATCTTTCAAGTTGGCAATTTAGTCCCTATTTAAACAAGAAAATTTGTTTTCTTTTGTCAGTCTGCTATATGCACTCAATTTTTGCAAGAAGTAGCACTACGAAAGTCTCTGCACAAATTCTCTGAGTGCAAAGGAAGGTCAACATAGGATTGAAGGTCACTGAGCCTATCTTCGTGCTAAATTTAACGTCACGAAACGTCTTGCAATATTTTACTGACATACGGACATTTAAGTGCAATGATGCTTGGTTTTAATCCAAATGAGTTTGATGGGTCAAAAGTTTGCAAGATATAGATATTGTTTCTATTTCTCATATGAAAACGTCGATTTTTACTTGAAAATCGGAGAAACAAAATATTTCTCTCAAATTCGAATCTAACAGTGGTAGAGCTAATTTTATGGTAGCCTATATTTGTAGAATGAATAAAAAAGCAAACAAAGTTCCATTTTGCAGCATCAATGAGAATAACTCTGCAGTTATTTAATATATTCAAGAGTACTCAACAAAATATCGTTTATAGCAACGAACATAGAAGAATTGTCATTCAAGTTCCCTGAAGTTATTTTAAATCATCAAGCGCCGCTTATATTCGGATATTTTCTCTGATTAGAAACATTTTGAAAATAAGTTCAAATTAAAAAAAACCTTTATATAGATGTGTCCTAATAGAAATTTATCGTATACTTGTATGACGTCAACTCATTCCGATAATGATTCGTGCGTAATTAATATCATTTGTAGATATTTTACCTTAAGTTTAAACCATACAAAAGAACTAATTGAGAATATAAATATATTTTATTCGATATTGTCTCGCTACAACAAATGGGAAATGCGTTTTCCGGAATCTCGTTCTATCGCCGTAAAATATCGTTTACACTATAAAAATTATCAGCAATTTCTTTTATTCTCAGTGTNCTCCGTGGTCAGGTCTTAGTCACATCAAAAAGTGCCTATCTTCGTAGTCGTAGTCGAATCGAATGGGCACATCGAATATCACTCGTTGTCATCGTTTTCTGGTGTCTGTATGGTGTTCACGTTTTCTTTTTGTATCGTATTTTACCAACTACCAAAACCTGTGGAAGTGACAATCCTGCTTTGGCTATCTACTCACCGATCTATCTGCTTGGCATCATCTGTGGAATACCAGTAGGGATCATGACATTGTTTGGTCTTTTGACTTATCGAAACATTCGACGAACAGTGCATCTTGCTGAGTTACGGTTTGACCGTCAGTTGATCCGAATGACTTCTATTCATGTTGTGCTTGTTGCTGTGAGTTTGATTCCATATGGGATTAACAGAGCTTATACTTTAATTACAGCTGGAGTAGTCAAAGATTCAGATCGACTAATGAAAGAAAGTTTCGCTACAACGATGGTCACTCTTGGAACATATCTATACTACGTGGTAAGTGGATTAGTTCTTTATCTCAATGTGCTTGAAATGTGTATTTGTCTTTATAGGGAAGTTGTTATGCGTTCTCTCTAACATCAAGTCGATTTCGTCGGATAGTCAAAAAAGAAATTTTTGCTCGGTGTCGTATGAGAAGAATAGCACCTTCGTAGGAGTCTTTTGAAAATAAAGAAATGTTTAGATTGGATTTCATGACACATTTTCATCATCATTCGAGTAAACTCCGTCCCGCAATAGGAAGGTCTCTCTAAATAGTATGTCCCTCTACGGCAAAAAATTGGAAAACGCCGTATAGGGTAGGAAATTTTTTACACAAAAAAACACGCGATGTGTTCAACCATGATAGAAAGTCCGGAGCCTTCTATTGCGGGAAGGGGTTTATTATGATTCGACTACCTTTTATCATAGAAAACAATGTTTGCTGCGTATTACAAGATATTTAATTTGAAAGCTTAAATCTGTATCATGATAATCACGAAGAATATAGCAATCGCATAGCTATAAGAAAACTTAATAGCATCATTCACATAGTTGATGCATTACGTATAGTATATGTACTACGTCGTCAGACGTTAAATATCTACAAATGTTCAAAACTGGATGTAGTGATTCTTATCATGGCGATAGGAAGTCCACGCATAAGTGCATTTGACTTCAAAAGTAGGTATAATTAATTATCACCAAGTGAAAAAAGCATGATCACCTAACTGACGAATGAAAACGAAATGAATTCGCTTGGTTATGGGAATTTTATCATTTACAATGGTGTGCTTCTGATGGTTTCTGATGCATCATGACCAACAGGAAAGCCAATATGTGTTGGCATTGGATGCAGTCTAGTTATTCAGTTCGGCATACTAGCGACTGATTTGTCAGAACTTTTCTATGTAATGAACTGTTCACCTAGTATATCATTATCTGCTATCTTTTAATCAACGTTTACTGTGTTGTTAAATAATTCTATAGGTTAAATGAAGATTGATTAAGCATGAGATTCTGTCAGGTGATTTAACAACAAATCTTTCGGATGACATAGACACAGTCATGGGTGAATATGCTTAGGGAGAATAATACTATGAAAGATGTTCTATTTGACGAGAAAGAGCAGATAAAAATTCCTCGAAGCAATTAAATATCGCTCATGTTGACAAACTATACGATTTTTGTTGTGCGTTCAGAGAAACCGATTCAGCACGCAGAATTTTCAATAAGAGGAACTTTAATTTTTTTTCTTGAAAAACATGTCCCTCAACTTCTTCTGTATTTGTGTGCCAGGAAAAAAACTACGCAAAAGTTCACTTTGGAAAATTTCTACGCTTTTCCCCAACATTATCTCTACATATAAAGATATATCGATAATATTTCGAAAAGTCACTCCAGAAATCGGAATTTTGAGAAGAAAAAAGCTGAGTTTTTTTCACCAAAAGTGTTTTTCTACAGTCTACCAATATTTCGAAGTCGAAAAAGATTGGAAAAAGTTTGTTTGGAAAAGGTGATGAATACTCATGGACTCGCTCAACTATGTTTTATGAATCTAAGATTGGAAGTATGAGAATAGTAAATTATGAATAAGAAGATGAAGATTGAATACATTTCGATTGTGAAATTGACATGAAATGTTCAACTGTAGAGAATATAGAGAAAGAAAATATCTGAAAAACATCGCATTATTTCACCTTCATTATTAGAATTGAAAGACAAAAATGAATGTAAACTGGCGTCTATAAATCAACTTCGTCCAATGGATATTTGAATATACGAATAGCGATTCAGTTGAATGAGTTTAACAAAGAAAAAAAATTGTTTTGTTTTGAACGTTGTAACTATTATTATAAACTGTGAAAGTCTTCAACATAAAAGAATTGATCGTACATTCGGATTTAGTCTAATGAGTAATATTCACACGATTTAGTTTGAAATTGAAGGATAAGTTCTGCGAAAAGGATTCTCTGATATAATAAAGACAAAATATATTGAAACTTTATTCCCAAGCAGAATAATCTGATATGTTGCATAGTTTCATCAATGTTTCAATGTGAGTGTAACTTCTTTTTTTCATTTAAATACACGTTTGTGTGATCGATCAAATGAAGTACGTTTTCTTTCCCTGAAATCTAATTGAGCTGCTAAACAGTAAATATTCAGTCATGTTCGTTGTGCATTATGAGCAGTGCGCATGAGTAACATTTGTGTAAATCGTTCACCGATATTTCCAAATACTATAGAAATTTCGTTTCTTCTCGCATCCACAGAATCTCTCGATTATTTTCCTACAAATCAAAAGATCTGTACTTTTACTTTTCTTCAATAAAAATAAAACAAAATGTTCGTATTTGATGCAACACTCAATAATAAAAATAGCGCGTTTTGTTTCAAATGCGAATGCCACAGAGTTCACCTTTCAAATCTACGTCAATTCCATGATTAAAATAAGAAACAGATGTAGAAGTATAAAGTATAGTTCATTTTATTAACAATTCACTAATCATGAAGATTTGGGTATTAACATCAACAACACCAGGTCCTAAAAATATGCCGAAAACTAAATAATTGAAACGCGAATATCAAAGAATGGTACAAACTTCACTAATTCGAAGAGATATGTTTTCCGAATCGTTAGATGAAATTTCTGAGAAATCTTTCAAGACAGTCGGTATCGTCATAAATCAATCACATATTGAAACCACGTGAATGAACTCATCTTCAGTAGGCAATATTTCGATACAGTTTCACTAACGAGGCAGCCTTAGAGACATTTCAATTGATCATTATGAGTATATTGTTATACAAATTCAAGAGTAACGAGATTCAGGAATATCCATAAAACAATGTTTTACACGAGAGAGTTTGCTACTTATAATATTTTCGCCCTCAAACAAACAAGTCAGATCAGTGAATGAAAAGTTGTTAGAAATAGTCTCTTTTCTCATTTTTCTTGTATTACTTAGTGCTGTGGATATCAACCTCAAACTTGAATGTTGCGCGAACTTATTGCATGGCTACAGTCTTACTATATGGTACAGTATTGATCGTGGGCAGATCAAATTTATATTACTGGTTCTAATTATGAGCGGTGTTGGAATATATGATTGAAGAAATGAAATTACGCCAATGACAATTCCAATAAATATTGAAAAGAAATTCAATCTTAACAAATTTGTAATGAATATTATTCTCTCACAAAACTGTTATTATACACAAATTCGATGCTTTTTTATTCCGTTATTTTGATCTTTGATAACAAAATACTATGAAATTCATATCAAGTCATTTCGTCCTTCTTCTATTCTCTCAAATATCATCAATCAAATTGATTCTCGTACTTATTCCTCGATGATTCTCAATAACAAGAGCTGGATGAATGTTCTTAGTTAATCAA